TAACCAAGCAAAAAATTTCAATGGAACTTGTAAGATGTCAAAAATTACTATAAAGCTTTCACAAAGTTTCCATAAAAATAACAGTATAAAATCAAGCCTTTCCACTTGACTGCTTTTATTGAATAGTAAAAATGACCTATGGCAAGGAAACTGTAACTGGTTACTTTCAAAACATATAATAAATGAGTATATGTGTGGATATGTAAAAAATGTATATACATACACATATATACATATATATAAACACACATTCATATATATACATATCAATAAGTACTTTAATTTTTGTATTAATATAATCATGCTGGCAAATTTTATAGGAGGAAAAATATAGAGTTATTTTTCAGAATCCCTATAGTTTGGTCTTTTAAAATTATTTTAAAAAATACTAATGGAAATATTTACTGTTTTTGCATGTCAAAGACATTACCAACCTCAAAACCTAAATCAAAGTATTTATTTGTGTGGTTTTAATTCAACATTAAAGCAATCTAGTATCTCTTAATCAACTAATAGGTAATCATATAAATAAACAATGAAAGAATATGTGCAGGTATTTATGTTTTTAAATTTCTGCTGCAATTGGCTGTTAGCTTTTTTGAACAAGATGTGTGGTATTTGCAAACTTTTTCCTAGTAATTAACTTTCACAAATAGAGCAAAAGCATAAAGTATTGAAGTATTCCAGAAATTTTATTATATCCAGAGTTAATAAATTATATGTAACTTATTTAATACCAGATTTTTAAAAAGATAGGTAAATTTTTATATTCATAGGTCAAAAGTAGTCCTTGGAGGTATTAGTTACCTTCAATTATGACTGCATTTATCAATAAAGATTAACAAAGGCATAATTTCAATAATATCACGGAATGAAGGAAATGCATTTTACTTTTCTCTAACAATTCCTTTTTAGTGCTTATGAGTATTTAATCCATTGCATGAGGCATCACGGAGATCAGTGAAGAATGGCTAACCAAATGAATATCAGCAATCTGACTAAATGGAGAAGCCTATTTTAAAAGTGAAAATTTCAGTTATGTGTTTGTTCACTTATTCATTTTCCACTTTCCACCCTCTGTACTACCACTGCCCCAGTTCAAGCTACCAACATCAACTCTACAGCAAAAAGAGCTATCCAACTTATTCACCTTCAAACCATTCTACAAGCAACAGCTAGAGAAACCTTTTTAAAAGAAAAACTTCATCATCATTCCCTTGCTTAAGACTATTCAATAGATTCTTACTTTAATAAGAAGAGAAAAAACTCTAACTCTTAAATGTGGCCAACCATCCTCAATGTCTCATCTGTTCTTATCTTTCCAACCTGTTGCACTTATTTCACCTTTGCTAATTACCTTTCTTGTAACAGTTCCATAAAGGCACTAATCTCTTTTCTGTCTGAAGGCCCTCTTGGAATGCCCCCCTTCCATATTTATAATATGATTTGATAATTATTCCTTGGACAGCCCCTTAAATATTGCTATTTTGGAAAAGCCTTTCCTGACTATGCAACCTCTAGTAGCTTCCTTCATACCCTCCTTCTCTATGGTACCTATTTATCCATCTTAGAACTTATAATTATTTTGGCATGCATGCTCAGCTACACCAATGATCACAAACAATTATATATTTTCTGTTCTCCCACTAGACTAAATGTTTGATGGAAGACAAAGACCACTTCAATTTTGTTTACCATTATATATCCAGGACCTTGTACAGAGAATGGCATGTGGTAGGCAACCAATATGTAGTTGTTGAATGAATCTATTCTAATTATTTGTTTGACACAATTATGTTCGTCTACCATTATTCCTAAAAAATATTCACTGTTGACAGCGATTTAATACGTGTTATCCAACTGTACTTGGTATAACGTAAGGAAAATCTATCCCACATGTACACAGAAGTAGTGACTTAAAAAGCAGAAGTACATTTTGAAAAATAAAAGTAAAATATTCCATTACCTTAAAATTCAGCCTTATAAAATTATGCTTCTTATAATTGTTATATATCTATATATAAAAAACCTTTCATTGCAGTGGATTGTGAGCCCCTTGAGTACAGGGTCATTGTTTTTTATCTTTGTATTTCAAGATCTAATAGAGTGCCTAGTACTAACAGCAGGTGCTTAAATATGTTTGTAAACAAATAAATAAATTTATTATAGACTATAATTATCAGATATTGTTAATAAACATGATATATAAATTTAGGGAATATAGAAAGGTACTTTAATAAATTGGATGTGATTTTGCCATAGTTTGACCTGTCTATAATAAAGTGTTACTTCATTCTAAATATATCTTTTAAGATCATATGTTAAAAATACACATGACATAAATATTTTAAAGGTCTCTAAAACTGAATTTCAATATGATTTCAGAATATAAATTTATAGGTCATACAGTCACCTTAATAACCCATGGAAAGATACATAATTAGTCTAACTGACTATTTTCTACATATAATGTCAATGGTCAATGTGATAAGAATCACTTTGTGTTCACTGAATTAATATTTAGTTTTAATATTACAAAAATACAATCTAACTACCCTGTACATATTATATATATTCAACCCTTTATAACTAGTTGTTTTTGACAGTTTGAAAATCTAGCAAATTATTTTTAATATTTATTGATCAATTTAGATATTAACTGTTATTTTGTTCATCTTTGGCATCGTCTCCCCTACATTTATGAGCAAAGGAATTCCTATTTTTCAATTCCAGTAGATATTAAGCTACCTGTTGCCAAAGATAAAAAGAATTCTTTCAGAAAGTTTCACTTCGGTGACTTGTGCTTTGTTAAAGTGAGGATTAAGCCTTTTTAAATCCCTTCTGGACCTATTTACAACATGAAGATTTAGAACATAAGCAGCTTTATTATAGCTCTAAGATAAGCTTTAAATATGCAGTAATTTTCCATGCAGCACATAAATCATCGCCCCCACATGGAAAGCTGCTAAATTCTTAGCAGAAGTAGCCCCTAGAGAACTAGTTTGTCCTTCAATTTAAGTATGTCTCACTTTATATAATTGTTTTCCTAAAGTTTAAACTTAAGGACATTTTAAAAATTATATTATTCTTTTCTATAAAATTTAAGTAAGTTCCTTTTGTGTTCAAGGCATCACTTTGGGCACTAGGATAAAGAAACAAATCCATCTATCATGAATCAGGAAGGACATATGTTAAATAAAGGCATCATAGTGTGATGTAAATTTTAATAAGGGAAGTACAGCTATTTCCAGAAACATACTACAGGTGACGTCATCCAGTTTAGGGGTCAAGGAGGCATATGTAGCCTAACTCCTACAGTGTCTCAGAAAGTTTTTATGCTGACCAGAGTAGAATGTTACGAGTGGAATAAATAGAATGTATAAAGAACTTACGAAGAATTGAAAGAAATTTAGGATAGTTGAAACATGTAATATACAATGCAACAAAAGAACAAGAGATAAGATCTAGCACAACATCTGGCACAGAACTGGTAACTGAATATTTGTTGAATGAATGAAGCTGTAAAGAGAGATTATGTCATATTAAGGAGTTTTTATTTCATCCTAAAGGCAATGGGATACCTGTAGATAATATGTTTTTAGATGACTGCTCTGGCTTCAGTGTGAGGAATGATGTCATGTAGGGTAAGATTTTAATAGGAAGGCTATTTAGGCGTTCATGGTCACAGTACATAGGAGAGATGATGGATGGTGATAGTAGGATCAAAGAAGGTGAAGAGATCCAAGAGATATTAAAGGTGGAGAATTAATAGATGTCGGTGATTTATTGAATCAGAAGAGGAGGAGTTATGTACAGAATCATATGCAAGAGAGCTTAGGTTATCAACAATTAACAAATAGAGACATAGGCATGAACTTACAAAAGAAACTTAAAAAGAGATTTCAAAGGAGCAAAAGGAAAACCAAGAATGTGTGATATCATGAACATTAGAAAAAAACGAATGTTTCCAGGAGGGGAGAATGGACATCAGTATCAAATGCTGTTTCCATGTCTAATGCAATAAGAATTTTAAATGTTTTACTAGATTTAGTGACATGTAAGTCACTGTGGATCCTGGAGAGAATCGTTTCAATGGAGTGGTGGGAAGAGCCACTCCAGTGGGTAAAGGGTGACTGGTGGTTGGAGATATTGAAAGAGTTCTTAAAATTTTCCCCAGAATTTATCTGGAAATGGGAAGAGAGATAATAGTGCACTGAGATTTAGAAAAAAGATTTTTAAGTTGGGAAAAAGTTGAGCATACTGAATGTATTGAAGAGAGTCAAGACATGAATAAATAGAACCTACGTAAAGAGAAAAAAAATGACACGACATTAATAATAAGTATTTCTTCAGCAGTGAGCCCAGGGGTGGAGGTGGTGGCAGAGAAAAATTATTTCCATTGTTTAGAACTGCGAGAGCATGGCAATAATCAAAAACAGAACAACTTTTAGTCTGTTTGCTTACTGTCTTAAAATTGTCTACAGGGAATGTACCTTTTTTTCACCCCCCACCCTGAAGTTGCTCCCAAAGCTCATTAACTTGCTGTTGTATCACTGTATTGATGATCTTATTTTTATATACAAATCTGAGTTATCATACTTATACTGGGTTTATTTTGCTTCAAGTTAGATATGCATGTATTAACCAACCACCCCATCCCCATTTTCACTAAATTGAGTGGAGAGAAATGTGTGTACAACTACAGAAGCAAATTCCTTAAGACCAATTTAAACATTATTTGATAATGAAAACCACTGTTTTTGAATTCTGACCACATTAATATCATCTTACTCATTATAAAAGCTAGGGCCACTGAGTAAATACAACTTTAGTCTAATTAAAAAATAAAATAGATGCCTATTATATTGGATGAATATGGAAATATTTCTAAATATACCTTTGGGAGGGTGGTCTGGACCATTCAGTGCTCCCTGAATAGCGGCCTGTGCAGCAGAGTTTTGGGCTTTCAGCATTTCAATGGTTTCCCTTAGTTCTATAAGTTCAGACTCCTGTGGAATAAACAGAGTTTGGAAGTTTTAATACTTAGAGAGAACAATAAGATGTACTTGTTTATAGCTGGCTATCAAATAGGTTTGATTTCATGTAGTACCATCCTCCTGGAAGATTTGGATGCTTGGCTGACCTTGTCAAGTTGTACCTAACAATTTCTTTCTGTGTAAGAAAGAATTTTTTCCCTTGATTTTTGTCTTATAAAAGCGATCTGAATAGTCTTCATTCCTTTCAAAGGGAGGCACCCAAAGCTGACCAGTACAAAGTAAAGCAGGATATCACATCACCCAATTTAGATAACACATTTATTAATATTACCTATGATTATATTAGATATTTAGATGTCAGTGTTGCACTGTTGCACTGCGTTGTGTTTATTGCCAGCTGGAAGCCCTGAGTTTTTGTCAAGTGATTTTAGATTTTGTCTGAAGTATTTTGCACCTGGATAATTGATTCTTTGTATTCAAGTGTGGAACCTGGAACTTACCTCTAATTCACTTTTATTAAATGTTATCTTATTAAATTCTGCTAGCTTATCAAGATCATCTTAGATTCTGATACTTTTCATTTAATAAAATTCTAGTATGGAGACCCAGTTTCACCAAGCCAAAGCAACACAGGAACAAAAATATGTGAATAGAAATATATATAATACACAGTCCTTAAATAATGGTTAAATTACCCCAGAAAAACAGCTTATAAGTCATATTTTTATAAAACATATATTTTCTTATTTAATTTAGAGTAATTTTAAGACATATACCAATAAAAATAATTATGTAAATTTGGTTTTTCATAGTTATTTGTTAAGTGAATTGTTTTACCAAAAATGACTTATGAGGATGATAAAATAACAAAAAAAGAAAGAAAGAAAGACAAAGAACCGAAGGCTGTTTCAGCACAGATAATATCTCTATTAGAAGCTCAGTAACAAGAGGTATCCTTCTTGGTGGTAATACAATCCTAAAAACTAGATCTTTGTCAGCCTCTTAGAGAAAGAATTTCTTGGTAATGTATTTGTCATTCATTTTCTCTAGCATCTTTGGCAGAAAGCCAAAAAATCATGCTTCGGTTCTTCATCCCATAGTAAATAATTTATCTTTATTCAATGTCTCCCAGAATAAATGAAAAAAGGGTAAACCTTACTGACAACCACCTTTCCGGAAAATTGCTTCATACATGGGAATGTTCAGTGACTATTCTAAACCTAGGCACTTAAAAAAAGATAGACAATGCTAATTGAAATGATATCCAAGTTTGGAATAGATACTTGGCACCTCCTATATCTATTTTCGTTGGCTATCTGACATATTCCTGATAGAGAATAGTTAGATTTTAAACAAACAAACCTTCTTATAGACTTTTAGTAACTTGTAAGTCAAAGAATCTCATAACGAAAAATCAATGGCAACCTCCTAGATTTATAGATGAGTCTTCAAATACTCGACTGTAAGCCCCACGCATTATTTATTATATATGTAAAATATAATATTTGTGCAAAATTTCCAAGGTCACAATGCAGAAGTCAGATCCAACTCATCATCATTTCTCATCTCTCCAATTTCTATATTCTGTCCATTACCCAACTAGCAATAGATAAGTTTACCAAAACTTAATATAGTTTCTATTTCCAAAGATATAAAATATTTTCCAGAAATTCATTCTGTTTTTACAATAAATTTATTCAAAAAGGACACATATGGTACACACTTAATGGAATAACATAACTTAAATATTAATTCTACGACATAAACACTAGGATGCACATTAAATTTTGATTAAAATCATATTTTCATCTTTGAATTTAAAATAAAATGCTTGGGCTATGGATTAAAAATCGCTACAACATTTGGCTGTAGCTTTAAAGGAGAAAAATAGAAATGAGAAGATCTCACACAAATGTCTAAAAATTGAGCTTAGTTTGAGTTCAAGCTGATTTCAGTGTCAAACTTTAATCTTTTCTAGAGAAATCTCTTCTAAAAAATGTTTTTAAAAAGATTAAAAGTGGAATGTTCAGGGAATGTTGCTTTTTCAGAATATTGTGTTTAACATGACATAGAAGAATGATTACTTACTACAATTAAGTATCTTTTTAGAAACAACGGATATCAGCAGGTTGGTTGTTATTCAGTGTGGCAGAAGAAACCCAAAGGAAGAATAACTAGATAAGAAATACATTTACTATATAACTTTGGAAAGTCACATTTATGAAAAAATAAGTTCAGTCAAATTCATATTAGTAGTATAAGCAAAAACCTATAAAAGAGTCCATAGTCTTCAGTTAAAAAGATAGCTAAAATCGACATTGACATAATCTCTTCAAACTTGCACTAGGTATCTTTCCATATTTGCCAAAATTCCTTCCTCCTTTCTTATTTCAGTTGAGATCTGCTCTGACCTTGTCACTCTGAGCCTTTCCATATAATTTTTCCCTTTGCTTTAAATATTTTTCCTCACCCATAAAGGCCATGGCGAAATGTTTCCATACCTTCGTAACTCTGTTTTTCTGTTCGAAAAAATGAAAAGGTGCCTTTTTTGTGTTTCCAGACTATTTAGTGCATTTAGCTTATTTATTTGTTGTTTTATGATATCAGTAAATATTGTAATGGTTTTGTTGAAATGTTTTTGTCTGTGTTAAACAGATGTTTCTCCCTTTGAAAGAATAATATAAAAGTTCACCTTTATTGCATACATAGGGTGCAAGAGGGTGTTTGATCACTTAGTGAGTGGGGTGCCATATAAAACATCAAAAATCTTATTATTTTTTTATAACCAGAAGTCTCAATATGGTTAAATCAGTAGAATCATCTACTTTGGATAGCAATAAAGTCAGGTTTTTCTTTTTCTCTTTCTGAAGAGTATTATAGATATAAAGCATTTTAAAATGAATGTTCAACTGAGACATAGAAATTGTTTCTCAATAATTTGTTTCTAGTCTTCCTTTCTCCCCTCATAACTATAGTTAGTTGTTCACATTTATTTCTAATAATGCATGGAAATTGCAATGTTGCCTCAAGGCACAACTAAGAATTCCTTCTTTTGTGTCCATAGTGGGGAGTCTGGATCAGGAATAGGATTAGATATGAGTGCCAGAGATGGCTGACTACAAAATCATTAGATAATCTGAAATATTTTCATATACTCTCTTTATTTTGAAGGTAACCAATAGGAGATACCGAAGTTTGAGAATCCTATTAAACCTCCAGACAAAACCTGAAACATGTACATGACATCAAAATATGGATTGAAAGTCAACTTCTCCAAGTCAGTAGCTTCCAGTTTCCTACTCTCCTCCTTAATACCAAAGAGAAGATTAGGGCTAGAATAATTCTGCAAATCATTTTGGGAATAAAAGGATCAGGTCATATTTTGTTGATACTTCATACTTTTCAAAAGTGGTAATTTAAAACCTGAGAACCAAAGTACAACTTCACGTCTCTCCAATGAACCATTCAAGATAATGATGCCCCCAATACCCACCAACCAGAAGGTTCTAGTTTTCCATCAAAGTTTCTCATGTAAAAGAAGCTGGATGGGGTCAACATCTCTTTTAACAGTTTTGTGCATGTCTCTGAGTCTAAAAGAAGTTAACAAAGTCAGACTTGAAATGCTTTAAAAAAATGATCAAATATTGTGTCATAATACAAGCCTTGTCTGGTATTCTTTCCAACCTAATCTCCTAACTATATCTGACCTCTTTCCAAATTACTTACTAATACAGGCCTTACTGAGAACCTTACAAGCTTGGCAACAAATCTCATCAACCAACTTTACCTCCTAGGCAAGGCTCTTAAAATTTTCCACTAATCTATCTTGTGCTTTCTCACACTGACATTCAGTTAATCTCACAAAAACCAGCTATAGTTTCCGGGAACAAATCCCACTCCCCTCCCCCTTCCTTTGTATTTGAAATCTTGCTAATGTTTCTTCTGAAAGAACCTGGCATCTCTACTGCATCACCTGAATTAAATTCACCACATCCCAGTAGTGTAAGTAATTTGAAAATTATGCATTCACATTATTCTATGCCCTAAAAGACTAATAGAGTTATCATCTGACTCTAGCAATATATATTTAAAAACACTTCCAAATGACAAGTATAATATAAACTGGGAAGAGTTAGTGTAAAGACGTGTGGTAACTTAATTTTTAGCTCCTACGTTACATATTTTCAAAGACTTTTCAAATTTCCTCATTTTCAAGGTTTAAATTCTTGTTCAGCTAGTCACCCAAAAAAGTAGTTTCACAGAGGTAAGAATGAGCAAAAGGCTTTATAATTAGCATAAAGGCAGTATCTGAGCTTCATCACTCATACGAGGAGATAGTCCTCTGTCCAGTTCTGACCTTCTAACAAGACTAACCTACCATACCTTAATATATGTTCTAATTGCCCTGGTATGATAGTTACAGAGAACTAATTTGAAAGTCTTCTGAATTTTAAATTCCTAAATATTTTTCAGTGAGCTTTAGTAAATTTGAACACAAAAATTTAACAGTAGTTCTGTAAAAATCTCACTTATAAAAAATATAGATTTTCAGAATTCCTGCCATTTTCATGATTTGTATCACAGCCCTTTTCAACTAGCATTCTATGAGAAAATTAAGCCCTACACAATGATTTGAGTGACTATTTTCTCAATTTTTTTTTGAGACAGAATCTTGCTCTGTCACCCCAGCTAGAGTACAGTGGCATCTTCACACCTCACTGCAACCTCCAATTCCTAGGCTCAAGTGATCCTCCTGCCTCAGCCTCCTGAGTAGTTGGGACCACAGACATGTACGATGGCTAATTTTTAGCCAACATACCTGGCTAATTTTTCTATTTTTGTAGAGATGGGGTTCTCGCTTTTGCTCAGGCTGTCTCGAACTCCTAGTCTCAAGCAATCCTCCCACCTCTGCCTCCCAAAGTGCTAGGATTACAGGCGTGAGCCACCACACCCAGCCTATTTGCTCAGTTCTGACGATGGTGGCACATAGCTAGTACCATTTTAGATGGTGAGAAAAGAAATTATTTCATCACATATAATGGATGCCTCAGGGCCTTAGGTCTTAATTTTTTCATGGAATCCTAGTGAAGTCCTGCTGAAGGTACACAGATCTGAAATCAGGGTAAAACTCTTGATCAAATTATGTCAATATCATAATCTCTTGAGTCTTAGGTTAGATATAGGGTAATGTCTACAGATAATTCCACCCTCCAGCCAGCATATTGACAATTCTCTTAACTTTTACCTATGTACAGATTCACTATTATATAACGTGCCATCTTCCAGAAGCTATTGCGAATGCTGTTAAACTATTGAAAAATGCTGCTAAGTTGATCTTCATTAACCACCCTGTTAGTTCAATGTCAAAAACCTTTAAATAGTTCCTCATTTTCAAAGACCAGATTCCTTAGACATATTTCTAGCCTTAGTTTCATGTTTCCCACAAAAATCTCTATTTTACCTTAATATTGTCCATAATTTCTTCCTTGCTGATCATGCTCATGCATGCTGTTCCTTCCTCTATGACTGCAGTCCCCAACCCTGAGGCCATAGGCCTGTTAGGAACCAGGCTGCACAGCAGGAGGTGGGCAGCAGGCTTCATCTGTATTTACCATCACTGTCTCCCACCACACCCAGATGGGATCGTCTATTTGCAGGCAAACAAGCTCAGGGATCCCACTGATTCTGCATTATGGTGAGCCGTATAATTATTTCATTATATATTACAATGTAATAATAATAGAAATAAAGTACACAATAAATGTAATATGCTTGAATCATCCTAAAATTATTCCCCCATCCCAGTCCGTGGAAAAATTGTCTTCCATGAAACTGGTCCCTGGCACCAAAAAGGTTGGAGACGGCTGCTCTATGACATACATTTGTGCATTTTCCCTGACTCATCCTCTTCATCCTCCCAAAGTCTCTTCTGTGCCACCTACATTCTGTAACCAGCATGAAGGTGCTATGGTCCTCTTTAAGAAGCCACAGGACATTGTACTGTTATATTTCTAATGGCATGATAATTTTCTGCCTTCTGAGTTATTCATACATGTCTTTTCTTTCTTACCAGGCTATGAATATATAAAAGTAGTGTTCTGGCTCACAAATTTGGCAAGAAAATCAGTGTGACTTGGCATCTGGAAAGGGGAAAACTGTTAGAAATGAATCCCTCCCTATTCAAGAAAGGGATTTTGGTCTATAAATCAAACTAAAATTTTGATGTATTAATAGATTCAGGCTATTAATGCCATGTGATTGCTGAAAATCACACTGTGAAGCCAGAAGACTAGGATTTCAAATGTCTTAGTTTATCTATTTCTTAAGTATGGAATCAAAAACATGTAACCACCTTGGCCTTTGTTTCTTCATGTGTTAGCTTCTCATCCAGCTTCCCAATAGCCTCATTTTCAGCTTTACTTTTCTCAATGGTGCTTATCATTACCTGAAATCCTATATGTTTTAATTTTACTTTTTTATCATCTGCCACCTACTAAAATATAAGCCCAATGATAAATATACACATATATCTGAGAAACATAAACTCTATGAGGAATATTATATATGTATAATACATTTTTAGAGTTTATATTCTAGTATATATCTATATCTCTATGTAGACCTATATCTGTCATTCTGTATGTATCTTATATATGCTGTTTCTTTTCAGAACAGTAGAAATTCAATATAAACTTGATGAGTGACTAAATGGACAAATGAACCTTGGAACTCTAGGAACACAGTTTAAAAATCTGTGCTCTGTATTTCCCAAGCTTTTCCCCAGGATTGTTGGATCACCAGAGAGCAATATACCCTTTTATCTCAGCTCCCTGAAGAAGTGCCTTTACTGAAATATGATTAAGTGTTATGCCCTCAGCTTTTAGAGAAATGTCTATTTGAACAGCGATTTTGTCTTTTGTTATTCCATGACCCCAATTTAAAAACCTTTGCAATAAATTCGTCCTTCAATTCAGTGCCAAAGAGTTTGTCTCTTCAATCTAAATTATGCTCTTCTGGTCAGAAAATGAGAATTGAAACATACCAAGCAATCTCCCTTTGTGCCTTAGCTTCCTTGACATTCAATTTAGTTTAGTGTTTTCCAGTAGCAATCGTCTAGGCTCAGGTATATTATCATATACATTCTTCTACTGTTTTCCATTAGATTCTGTCACTGCATTATGCCATATGATATTGTAATTAATTGTATAGGCTTCTCAAAACAACTTTGGAAATAAGAAAATTATAATCTCTATTAATAAATAAACGAGTTACCAGCATTGTTGTGTGAGTATAGTTTGCAATTAGAAAAGAAGTGATTTTAAGTTAAAAAATGATAAGGGCAGTTTCAGACATTATGATATCTTTTGAGGAAATTAGTTTTGGCAATGTTATTTTAAGGATAATGCACATAATTATAAAATTCCTTATATTAGAGAGATGTGTTTTTAGATATTCAGGAATTAATCATAGGCATTGTAAATTAACATATCTGTATATTTTTTGAGCTTCTATGAGAAAAATTTATTTATAAATATAAAGGAGTTGAAGGAAATATGGGGGGTAAAAAATTCTATTAATTTTGACTTTTTAAAGATATTGAGACTTAAATACTATCCCTCATTTCCAGAAATATGCTTGGTATATGTCCAATAATGAGTTTGGTTCATCTTATAATTTTGAAGGGAAAAAGAGAGAAATACAAAGGAAGGTAACATTTTCTTTATTGCCCACTTCATATGCATGTGACATAATTATAGTTTCTTTCTTACTCCTCACCGTGATCCTACAAGGCAGTTATTATCATCCCCTCTTTTAAAATGATGGATTTGAGGTTCAGAAAAGATTGCTCAAGATTACAAAGTTCTTAACAGACACAACTAGGATTCACACTTAATATTACTGGGCTCCAATGTTTTTATTCACTGGGTTCTTAACATTACACAGAGAAATGGCAAACTACTAAAAAAAAAAAAAAAAGGAAGAAAGAAACAGAAAAGAAGAAGAAAGGAAAGAGAAGAAAATTTGTGAGCTCAAAGGAGTTTATTGACTATCCTAGAACAGGTTTAACAGGAAAGGATAGTGTTCTCTTTCAAGGGCATGAGAAATCTATGAAATAGAAGAATAAATCAGAATACATAGAATACAGTTTGCTAGTTATACTAGGCAATTATAGGAATAATAGATTTTCTCTTTTGATTTCATTATGGATTGTTCATTTAGTTTAAAAAAAATTTGTAAACTGACAAAATTTGGTAATACATGCTAATTTTGTAAAGCTAATGACATACTTTATAGAATCAAAAGACAAAATTGAAGCCATCCTTGTGGATAGATATAGGAATAGATACTGAAAATATCCAGAACTTTTTAGATGATGATCTGTTTGAGAATTAGATGAAAACTGTGGACAACTGACCATATTTTATACATACACATATTTTACAAAAATTTTCTCTACAACTTCAGAGGCTTCACCTGACTCTGATACCCAACTAAAGAAGTTAAGGCCACTGGACTAACAGCAGAAAAGTAAGTTACATTGTTATTACAGGGAAAGTGACCCGACTCTCTCTAGTCAGTATGGACCTTTTTAATACATCTGCCTTTGTGAACTAAATTCTATGTTCCTTTCTTTTTAGTATTTATTCTTCCACGCCACATGATAAGATTCTTCATCTTCAGGTTCATCTTAAAGCTTTTGATATAATTTAAATTACTTTACTTCAAAGGAAGCATCTTCAGATGCCCGACCAGTTCTTGCTATTCAAAATTATACAGGACTGTCCCTTGTTCCCTAGATGATATAACCTGAAGTCCCTTACTTTGTAGAGTCCTAACATCTGTTTCAGGCATCTTTCCTGCATATCTCAGCCTACAGCCATGGTCTATAAGTAGATTTAGTGACCATGTATTTGTGAAAACTCTTGTTTTCACAAGAGTTCTTCTCAACTGCATAACAATTTGCACTGCGATTTCACTGTTTTCACTGCGATTCTTCTCAACTGCATAACAATTTGCTACTAGAATATTCTAACTCTTATATGACTGTTTCTCTTCATTAACATTTGATATTTTAATAGTTCCAGTCAGAAGTAAAAGAACAGGCTGCCTAGAGAGAACTTTGTGTGTGTTTGTGTGTGTGTTCCAATATGGATTAATTTGATTACAAGTCTTTAAAGTTGGAAAAGTAAAGATACCTTATCATTGTTCTAATTTAGCATAGAGTGGGTGCTCCATAGTATTATCTCTAAGGAGCTGCAGGTATTATTTAAGCATCCTATGCAACTTGCTGTCTTCTTTCAAGCTCCCATAACAGTTTCTGAACATACCTTTTGTTCTGCTGTCATGGTTAGACTTTGCAATCGGCCAGTCATATTCCCTAAACTCTTTTCAAAAGCTGCTACAAGGTGAGCCTGTGAACAAAATGGAAGAAACATAGTTTAAATGTCAGAATCTTATGTGGATGGATGAAAACTCTTCATTTTAAAAAATGCTTATTTCAAGTGTTCTAACTCTGTAAATACTATGACCATTGTGGTTAGCTCTCACTGGTGACTCTCCTTTAACACAACTTTTCATTTATCATTTCTAAACGTTGGCTTCTTAAAAATCAGTGTTTCAATCTCTTGACATTTAATATGGGTTCAACTTCTGAAAGAAGATGGCATTTTGCAAATAATAACACCTTTTGACTTGAATATCATAGAGGGATATGGTACTCAAAATGCTGCATAAAGTCTGAGCTGCCAAGTTTTTAGACTGAAAGCCCAAAAAGAGGTCACTGAAATAGTCAATGGACAAATGTTCTTCATTTTTATACTTTCATGATGACCTTTGAAGACATTGTTAGCTCCTCTATTGTAATGGTACTCTCCTTCAAGTGTCAGACATCTGCTGACAGGTATAACATTATCTTTCCTCTTTCTACTTACAAAGAATTGAATCAAAAAGAGTTGTCTCTACTTTCTAAACTCTTTTTCAATAAAAAGCCATGTCTTTCTGCTTTATATTCCCTTCAACTAAGGAAATATAGATAGGCTAGGTAGAAATAATATTCAGTCATATTTTATTTAACATTAAGCTTTTGTGGCTTTGGGGTTTTATTTTAAATTACAGAGCATTATACATATTATAGTACATAACCATAACTCTTATGATTAAGAAGTATTTGGCAATCTTATTAGAGCTCTAAAATAGGCCAGTTTCTATTGGCACGCCATTATACAGTAGCTTGAATCCAGAATATCAAATATGAAGAGATGTTTCAATCTCTCAGCATGGCTTTAGGTCGAACTATATGCACAATATCTCAAACTGATATAGTTTTATTGTGCCCCTAAAAGTATGTAAGGATTGGGTAGATATTTAACAACCTAAATCTATAATCAAATATATACAGAACAAAATGTCAGTCCTTGGCAAAAGATTGATTTTTTTTTTGAGAGAGTGAAGTGAGAAGACTCAAATAAAATACATCTCCTTGCAGCTGTAGCAGAGCTGAAATGCTGAAGCATCCACTATCAAATGGATCACAAGAGTCCTGAGAATTAGGGCTCTGGAAGTTTATTCCATTATTGGTAAGAGAATCCACAAGTCCCCTTCATGAGCATCATAATAAAAGGTGTCTTTGATCCTAGCTCTGAACTCATTCTGGGCTGCCAACACTGCAATATGGAGAAAACAACTTTGCAGAGAATATAACTACTAAACTTCAATCTATCAACACAACTCTTCATTTTCTTCTTCCACTTCCTCTCCTTTCTTCTCTTACTTTCTTCTCCCCTCCTCCCTCTCTCTTTTTCTCTCTTACACACACACATATATACACACATGTTCAGGTTTGTTAGCAGACTTAATTGAATAAATAACACTACAAAAGAATAATACCTTATAGTGTGAAATACTTTCAATAACAAGGAATGTCATGACATCCAACTTATACCCTCGGAAAATAGTGTAAGGCTACGTCCCACTTACTCTCATATTATAACGTTTTTTTGAATTGTAAAAAAAAGTACATATGTAAAAGTGAACAAAATGAAGCTGTAGCATCACCGATTTATTACATAGAGAAAATTCATGTACTCATCAGCCAAGTCAAGAAACAGGACATTTCAAGACCCTCACCCATCCTCCATCATTGTTCCTTCTCCCTCCCTCAAAGATAACCACTATTGCAACTTCTTTGGTAATTATTTTTTTGCTTTTATTTATAGTTTTTATATCTAACCTTGCATTCCTAAACACTGTTTTAATTTTGCCTATTTTAAAATCTATCCAAGTGTAATCATATGGTATGATTCTTTTCTGTTTTCTTTTGCCTAATATTGTTTTTGAGATTCATCCATGTGGTATGCAGCAGGACATGGTCTTTGCCATAAAGCATTCTTATATGCAAATTTATAATATATTTGCCCATGATAATCATTTGTGCCGATTTCTGTTTAAGCTATTAGAAGTAATCCCACCAAGACCATAAAATGGGTTACTGAAACCTAAAACTAAAATTGCTTGTTTTCTTTAAAATAAGAAAAATTCCAGCAGAAACCTTTTGTTAACATTTACTAAAGGAAATATAAGATTCTACTCAATATTGCAAAGTTTGAATTGTTGCAAAGTAGACAAATGTCAAGTTTAATTATTGGACTGTGAATGTATAAACTTGAAGAAATTTACTTCACTTTACCCTTTGTGCATATTTTATCAGTTTAATAGGAATTAAAAATATGGCAAAGAAATCAGGATTGTAAAGAATATGCTGTATAAACTATATTGCTTACATTTTGTTGCAAGTAACAATGAAATACTTACCATTAGAATATCAATTTGTACTCTCTGTAAAATTGCTTTTCATTAATTATTCACAAAAACCTAACTGGTTATTAAAAAATATATTAATTTGAGACATGTTGTTTTCAATGAAAAGTATGTTAACATTATGTTAGTGGAATATTGTTTTAAATTTAAGTGACCTTGGCTTAGTTTGTCAGATTAAATTTGTTACTTTGGAAGTAATTAAAGATTAAACTTTTCACCAAATGGGGTAAATGGGAAAGAAGTAAAAGAAGCAAATAAAGTACATTTTTTTCTAGCAGTTCTGATCTTTATCCCTTTAATAAAGAGAAAATGGAAAGTAAAATTGATTAAACTTATAGGATAATATATCTTATCTGTAAAACATTATAAGACAATTTTCAAAAAAGATATCATGGATTTTCAGAGGGATTGTTAATCACCGTTTACTTGGTTCTGAATTTTCTTTTGGCAGTTGTACAATTTTCAAGTCAGAGTAAAATTTTTTTAATATGATGATAAATATCCCTTGATTTGTATTAGGTGAAATGTGTTAAGGTAATAAAATAGACAAAACAATTGATTCTGTCAACCTCTACCATAAAAAATAGACAAGACTGACTCTTAGGGGAAGATAGTTTTAATACATACTATCTTTGGTTTTGGAATCACACAACATAATAGGATAGACATGTAAAGAGAATTACTGTGATGTTAAACAACAAGATGAAATATCATTCTATATAATGTCTACATTGCATGCGTTCACACGGAATGAAGTGACAGCCCATCAACCAAGTAAAAAATACTCTAAGCATAGATTGATATGG